AAGAGCAACAGCGACAAAGGGCAGAGGTGGTTGGGGCTGCATGCGCTCTGCGGGGCACCAGTTGGATAGCCCTCTGCTAAATGATTTTTTAAGACCAAGCACAGGCTCATAATATTATCACCCTAGATTGTGAACTGGAGACAAAGGGCAGATCCCATGCCCTTATTGGAAGGAATCCTTTTAATACCAGATCATTCTGTTTCTAACAGTTGCCCATATGTGAGGCTTTAGAGAAACTGCCCTTTGCTCCTAATTCAGTTGTGCAGCTTGTATGTTGAAGCAGAGAGATTCCATTCTTACCTCTGAAAGTGCTCAGCTCACTCCTTTAACTCTGAGACTTGATTTTGCAACACTTGCGATAGGATAAGGTCAAATGAAATCAGTGAGAATATTGTTATTTATTCTGTTGGGAGCAAGATCCTGCCCATTGTTACTGGTCATGAACTTATCCAGTTAATATCAGAAAATCCTGATGTTGTTAAAAGAACTTCCTTCTGTAAAAATGGGGATGATAATTTTGTATTCACAAAGCTGTGAGGATTAGCTGGTTTGACAAATGTTCCATAGTACAAGAAATTACATACGATATTTTTTTATATGAACCTGATCTGGTATCATTGCTTTGATCCTTTTTCAGTTTATGGACCTTCAGGAAACTTGGGGAAAGCAACTGAAAAACCAGGCAGCAAAGAGAAAGACAAGACCTCATCAGATTCTGGGTCTAAAGAAGGAGCTGATAAGAGGAAACGTAACAGAGTCACTGAAAAGGTCTTAAATGCAAATAGCAATCCCTCCAGTCCAAGTGCTGCTAAACGGCGCAGAACATGAGGAAGTCATGAAAGACTTTGTTTAAGTGTAGTCTTTAACTACAGAATCTGGGTAGGGAAGATAAGAATGGAATAGCACAGAAGGAAAGCCATCATAAAGACTTGTTCATTTGAGAAAAGTATGTCCAAGTCCGGTATTCAGAGCATCTGCACATTGGCGTTACGTGTGGAAATGGACTTGCCTATCTCCTCTTTTAATTATTTACTTGGTCAGCATTGCATAGCTAAGTGATGGCTATGTCCTTAACACACTGAAGGAGAAAGCTGGCAGCTTTTCAAATGTGTGTGCATAACAAGTTGAGTGGTAGCATTTTAAAATATCAGTAACGCGCACACACACACCATGTCGTACTTCCTAAAAGGAACTTTTGGGAAGACAAGCCACAGTTCATGATAAGTTTAGGTTATTTGCAAAGTTTAGATTCGTTTCATGTCTTCTGTTTGCTGCTTTCTTTGAGTACTTGAATCTCTTTGTGGGTGACGGTTCTAGAACATTTTAGTTACAGCAAACACAACATTTTTATTGGATGTCTGACTTTGTTGGTCCAGTAAAATTGAGTTAGTATATTAAATACAGATTGCTGTATTAAGAAGAAGTAAAACCCCTTTTTGATGGAGGCTTAATGGTGTAACTTACTAGCGCATACTGTAAAAACCATCAGTGTTTGTTCCTGGACTGAATTTTTCATAAGTGGCCTAAACTAAAATATCTCGTAGTGCCATGTGATATAAATGGGTTCACTTGGGAATGCAGGAACCTTGAGCTATTGTTCCACCCACTTGTATTGTAATAATGTATATAACAGTTGTTTTTGTATTTCACAGATTGCAATTTTTTAAAACTTTTATTAGGGGGTTGTTAAATTGAACTAAGATTGCAAAATGTTAATCTTTTGCAGTTACTGTACTTACTTGAAGTTGTCTTAGTTTAAGCTCTTAAAGATTTATGATACTTACTTTTCAATTTAATGTTTTGAAAATTGCAGGATTTTGCAGGTTAAGCTAGTGAAAAAAGCAGGTGGTAGTGTTGGTGAATTGTATCTCTGGCTATTAATCTTACTGTTTAATTAAAAAAAATTACAGTGCTTCTTTGTCTGGCAGCATTTCTGTCAAGTTGAGGAATTAGAGATCTAATAGCCTGTGTTTTACTGCATATGCTTGGCCAAATTTTTCACTGTTGACTCATTAATTTCTTTTGGTTTACATCAAGAATAAATTTGGCTCGTTGTGTGTAATCAGATGCTCGCTGCATAAGCGAGCAAGAAAACAGGCTCAAGGCTTGGTGTTTTTGGAGGTATTTAGCTACCTGCATACTTGAGAAAAATCTCACAAGGCCCTTGCTCACTTGCATCATTAAAAGCCTAAAATACTTTTGAACATCCAGCTCTTAGTAGCTGGATTTGGACCTGACAAATTGCCCAGTGATGATTTATGGCATTTATGGCTTCTGGAGCACTTGCATGAACACTGCTGAGAAGTGCATCCTATCCCCCTGCTTCCACTCAATACGCACTAGTCCCAGAAAGAGGGCAGTGAACCTGCCCGGAGGGTGGCCCCTGCCACAGACAGATCTCAAGAGCCATGCCCTTAAATGACGCGCCAGGTGAAATCCTGCGCCTACTGAACTATGGAAGCTTTGCCAGTCACTTCAATAGAGTCAGGATTTCACCTGTTCTGATTAATATAGTTATCAAGTGACATGTTTGTCCTTCTTTTCACTTCCTTCTGCTCTTTTTTTTTAAAGCTGTTCTCTTCTATTAAAATTAATAATAGTCTAGTCTGACATTATGATGTTTCTGATCTTGTGTTAGGTGCTAGAGCAGGCTATGTTCTCCAGTACTCTGGTACCCGAAACTTGTCTATAAATGGCCAGTCAAAGCCAGCTCTCTGCCAACCCATTCCATTTAGTTTATTGAACTTCACAATGACAAGGGATCTGTAAAAAGCACTTGAGTTCATTTAGAGGGAAAATGAGAAACAACCCATGGATGTGAGGAGTTGTAGGACAAGATGTGTGCTGTTAAACCTTACACTGTTCAGACTTTATGTAGATTCATGCCTGTTTGTTGGCATTATTTCCATTCTTCCAACTTTCACATGACCCCTGAATTTTGGCCAATTGAGTTTGATGGGAGTCTACGCTGGTGCCATGCTCTTTTCAGGGGAAGTGAAGATTGTAGCAAGAAAAGCAAATAAAAAGTGTGTGTGTATCTGCACGCACATTTTAGACTAACCTATATTTTAGCTTGTCCTAAGGATATAGAGCAAAGTATAAGTTTCACTATGCATGTTCTGTGCATGTGCAGATTGGTAAGTATAGCTTAAAAACAAGAGTATAAGGGAGTCTGATTTACACCTCTTTCATGTCACACCTTTTTATTTTGGTGGTGGTGTGTGTAAGGAATGAGGTTGTCAACTGGTGTCATAGGATTGGTTGTAAGCAAGCCAAGTACTTCCTGCCTGACACCGTGCTTGCTCTTCATGGATGTGATATACATTCCCTGGGATTCAGTTACCACCAATCAGATCACCAGAGTTCAATTCCAATTTAGCATTTCCACTGACTGCTTCAAAATGTATATATGCTGCCTTTTTGTCACATTCCATAGCCCTGCCTAAAGCTCTGCTGCTTTTTGCTCAGCTGATTGAGGAAGGAGGTCTACTGAAGGAAATGCTGTATGGACCTGCCACTCAGCAGATGCAGTGTTGTGAGACCAGAAGTCTTGTGAAGTTTAATACTCAGTGGAAGGTTTGGTAATGCAAACACTGAGACCAATTTGGAAGCCTCCTACGCAGAAGGAAAACCAAACAAGGCTCTGGCAAGGCTGTCAGTACTCTTGATTCTCGCCCTTTCTTGTACAATACAGTACAAATACAGAACCGGGACAGTCTGAAGTTCAAACGCAGGTGTATTGTATACACAGTGAAAAAGGGAATTAAAAAATAGTTCTGACATTTTCAGTGGGGAAAAATGGTTTGCTGCTTTTGACTATTTGCTGGCTTACTGCTTATTGCTATAATGAATATCCCATTTGAACAACTCTACTATAATGTTCGTGTGGCTATAGCAAGTCATGAGGTCTGTTTTTAAGCCCTTCACTTCTGATACTCTGCTCCCACATTTTGCTCACATACAAAAGGCCAGAATGAGTGCTGATGCAGAACATGGTAGAGCCCTCCAGATGCAAAGGTGGAAATTGGTAACACAAGGAGCAGCATTTTCCTCTCCATCATACAAAGAACAGAGATCAAATTGAGAGCGCTTATTAAGAAGAGGATGTCAAGAGCTACAGAGTATTTTCCTTCAGAAAACATTGAGACAGCACTCCCCCACTCTCCAAGTCAATCCATTTGGAGTTCAGGGGCCAGATCTGTGCCTTCACTGCAAGAATTGCCTTCCAAAAAATTAAAGAGGTGTTGTTTGGCAGTACTTTTGGAAGACACTGCCAGCTCCAAACATCACCGCACACCCATGCAACCCCCCAGGGCAGTCTGTGGTCTCCAGCATCTCCTCCTGGCTCACTCCAGGTAGCAAAGCAGATCCTTCTGGGCAACCTGCAATGCTTTTCCAAGTCTAGACCCTTCAAAACACAGACCCCCTTGCAAGCAAGCAGCATGATTCCAGACTTGGGTTGTCAACTCTGAATCTATTCTAGAAGGTTTCCAGAACACCAGTGTGCCCCCCACACAATGCAAACGTGCCCGCGCGCTTCGTCTATCGGTTATGGGTTACGGTGCACAGACTTTCCGCCAGGAAGGTAAATAAATGAACCTGACTGTTACATTTAAAAAACCCTCTGCATAAATCGGATTCGACATGTCATATTTATTTTAATGGAGGCCCTATTCAGGTTTGTATATACGATTTTATTTTAACGAAAGATGAAGGGCTGATCCTTTATCTCCCGGGTGACTCGCGGCAGTCTCCTGGGGATTTATATCTAACTCCAGGACTGGCAACCCTACTCCAGACGCCCCTTGCCCCAGCAGGGTGGGGTGGGGTGGGGGGATAAAACTGCCTCTCGATGCTCCCCTGCCCCTAGCCCAGACGCTCACGGAAGCCGGCTGACCCCTCTCCCGCCCGGTCCCGTGGCCGGATGGAACGCGCAGACAATGCCGGCGTTCTACCGGCGCGGCTCAGCCAATGGGCGGCCGGGCGCACGGACGAGGGGGCGGGGCCGGCAGCGTCTCGCCCACGTGGCGGCTGCCCCGGCCGCTCCTTTCACTTTCCGTTTCCCAGCCCGGCTCGCCCATGGCGGCTTGGCTCGGCATGAGGCCGCCGGAGGACGCGGAGGAGGAGGACGGGCAGCTCTGGCAGTACGACTCCAGCTGGGAGGACGAGGAGGAGGAGGGCGGGCAGGAAGGGCTGGCGGAGGAAGAGAAGCCGATGCCGGTGTGTTCGCGAGGCTCTTCCCAGGCCGGCGGCTGGCAGGTGAGAGCTGGGAGGGGAGTGGGGGTCCTCGGTGTCTGTCTCCGCTCCTCCATGCATCCGTGCAGCGCCCGCCGCAATGCATCGCGTGTCTGTCCCCTCTGCCAGGTTGCCCCGCTTTGCACCAGCCTGTCAAAGGTCCTGTGACCCCCCCACTCATGCTGCATAACTTGCCTCCCCCCCGGAGAGCAGCAGCATCCCCGGCTGTGGAAGGAAGCCAGGCATCAACTGTGGGTCCCTTTCTGAGCAGGTCCATCTCTTCCCACCTTCCTTTCCTAGGGACCAGATCAGCTGAAAGCATCTCCAAGGTCCTTTCGCTCCTACGAGTGTATCATTTTTTAATTTTCTTGCGATAACGATGACCTGTGATTTCAAACGCTGCGTGGAAGCGTCTGGCAGTGGCATTAGGCATCGACGTTGCAGGGGGTGCAAGCACCTGCCCTGGCAGTCCTCAGGAGAAGACTAGACCGGTGCCTTGCTGGGGTGGCCTGACCCCCAATTACCTTTGCTGCCTGGTGCCTGATGATCTGCTGAGGTCCCTTCCAGCTTTACAGTCTGTGAATCTCTTTGAGCTGGGGGGGGGATTGTGACTTATTTTTCAATGAAATATATTAAAATATCTGTAGCTGCTCCTCCCACGTTTCATTACACTGCCACATACTGCTGCTTAGCTGCTTTTCTTACTCCTAAACCAGGATATTTTTGTTATGCCCAGGCCTGGCCTTTTGTCTCCACTTCCTGGAGTTTTTGACATAATCATTCACAGCCTTTGACACACTTCTGATACCTTCAATGCTCCAGTCTGTACTTCTTTATGTCAGTATTTGTAGTCTTTTGTTGGTGGCCCTGCTCTTCCCATTGTCAGTTGTTTGCCCTTAAGCCATCTGTCTTCTTTCTTTTAAGAACAATTTAAAACTTGCTAGGATTTTCTACAAGGCTTCTTCTGGGAGGGGAATTATAGGTCAGCTGTAAAACTGAAAGCCCTGCCTCTTAATGGTATATTGCGCAGCCGATCTCTGTTTAATGAGTGGTTATGGTGCTGCAAAATGTGATCATTTAAAGCTGCTGTCTTCCGTAATGGATAAAGACCTTATTTAGTCTCAAGTATTTGACTTCAGCAGCAAATGTCAGTAATTTTCCTGATACTGCTTGAACAGATCTTTCATTCTGGATTTTGCCCTTCAGTTTTAATAGGAAAGCAGAATCCTTCACTGTTGGGTACTGGGTTTTTTTCTTCCCTTTTTATTTTCTTCTTTCATCTGACCACTTCCACCTAGGAGAAATGAAACTAGTGTTGGAGTTAAGTTTCCTTTTGATACTGTCAGGTCAACATTTAAATATATGACATCACACATTCCCTCATGTCTAAGGAAGTAGATCCTTTGGAAGCTCATTGTAAATGAGCCTTTTGATGGAGCACAAACAAATCAAATGCTGTAGTATTTTCTTTCAAGGGTAGAGACTTTGGCACTGTTTGCAAACAGATCGGAGGCTTCAGTGTGATCGATGAGGCGCAGCGCCCACACGGAAGTCTGCCACCGTCAGCGAAGCTCCGTTCATGCAGATCCATCGGCAGAATCTCATCCCAGATCAAGAGCTTTGCTGCAAAACCTGTCGTGACTTGTCCAGCGTGCAAAACCTTTACCTTTGGTTGTTTAGCACCAAAGGGTTGCCGTTCAGTAAAATGTGGCCTCAAAAATTAGGTTTTATTTTGAAGAGAGATTTTTTTTTGAAGATCTTTGAAAGATTTCACAGATTTTAAACCCCGTGGGAATGTTTTGATCATTTCTGTTCCTGCCAAAGCAATTTTTGGAATGAGCCAATTGCTCTCCTGTCTCGTGTTGATGCACAGGACCAGAGAGTGACATAGCTGGTTCTCTTTTTCTCTTGCTCTCCGCTGAGAAGATGACCTGTTGCCGACATCTGAGCATAAGAAAGGACAGTCTGCCTTCACTGAGTGGGTTT